ACTCAACCCCTGAGCCACGCCGGCCGGGCTTGATCTGCGTTTAGTTCTCCGTCTCCTCGCACCCGGGAGGCCTCCAGGAGGTGGGCGTGGAATGAATGGATGAGGAAGGACAGAGCCTAGAATGGGCCGCTCCTGGGGACAGCCTGAGCGCGGACACGAGGACAGAGAGCGGCCAGAGGTGTGAGACCTGCGCCCGAGGGGACACAGGCCGCTGACAGCTACGCTCCCCACACCCGCCCTCGCGGCCCCGCCTGGACCCCACTTCTTTCCCCTGGGACTGCGGGGGGTTAAGGCGGACAGGAGTGACCATGTGGTCACTGATGTGTTAATATCGGTGACGACAATGATACTAACAAAAGCCACCACAACCCCCTCACAGTCCTGATGGGGGCGGGGGGGGGGCGGGGTGAGCAGTTTTGTCTGACAGACGAGGAGTGAGGCCCGGGGAGGTGAGAACCCAGAGGTGAGAGGTCAGGTGTGTCTGCCTCCCAGGTCCGGACCCTCTAGGCCGGGGATGGGGGACGTCCCGCCTGCAGGCCGCGTGAGGCCCGAGAATCACTGGCTCTGGCCCTGCCTGCGACTCAGGGTGAGTTCACGAGAGGTTTGACCAGATGGAGCCGCTCATCTTCAGTAGATCGATGTGTACGGCCCTCGGATGACGCCATCAAGACCCAAATGGGCCCTAGGTTGGCTCGGTGGATAGAGCATCAGCCTTTGGACTGAAGGGTCCCGGTTCGATTCCGGTCAAGGGTACATGCCCAGGTTGCAGGCTCAATCCCCAGTAGGGGGCGTGCAGAAGACAGCCAGTCAATGATTCTCTCTCATCATTGATGTTTCTCCCTCTCTCACTCTCCCTTCCTATTGAAATCAATAAAAATGTATATTTAAAAAATATCCCAATGGCCCTTGGCAGAATGCAGGCTCCAGCTTGCCCCCGCCACTTAGGCCAAACGCGACACACGTCCCTTGTTGACCAGGAAATTGGGAGGAAGGCGGCCAAAGGGCTAGTTGCACTCTGCACCGCCTACCGCAGCCCGATTCGCAGTCCATGCCCACCACACGGTGCAGCCTGAGCCCCACAGACACGTCCATGAACACACGAGTCCCCTGGATCATGAGTGTAGCCCCACCGGGTCAGAAAGGGGTCAAGGGCGACACCAAAGGACCCTCATCACATGTTCACTGCCATCCCCGGGCACTGTCTCTGCCCCCTTGGGATGCGGGTGTGACCAGGCTGGCCCTCAGGGTGTGACAGGTGTGACAGGAGGAAAGAACCCAGAAGCCTGCTGTCCCGTCATCAGAAAGCCAATGGGCATCAGTGTCCACTATCCCACAAAGCCCTCCTCAGCCTGGAGCCACGGGGCCACCTTCATGGCAGGGGAGGCACTTCTTGACCATCGGCCACTCTCCCCCGGGACGGCCACCAACTATCTGATGAGAACTCACAAGGAGGATGGACAGACGGAGTCTTTGGATTCCGCCACCCCCATAGTTAAAGACACAGAGGGCAAAAGTGTGGTCCAGATGGGGTTCAAAGAGCCATGGGTCAGCTGGAGAATGCCGACCAGTAGAGGTGGGCAGGAGAGAGGGACATCCCAGGAGAGGTGGCTGGGACTCACCTGACCAGGTTGTTCAGGGCTGAGCAGCTGTGGGAAGAAAAGGACAGTCATACAACAAGCTCCCAGGTGCCCGGCCCAGATCCCGGGTTGATGACCCTCAGCTTCTACACACGGAACTGACGCCGTGCACAAGGCCTCCGGGTGGACACAGCAGTGCTGCCCCGAACCTCGCAGTCCTTCCAAAGCCACGCCCTCTGTCCCCTGCCATCACCAGCCTCCCTGAACCCGAGGACTTCCTGTCCAGTGTATGGAAGCCAGTGTCATGCCTGAGACAGGCCACCAGGGCTCTGGTGTTGACACCAGAGAGTGAACAGGGAATGACCCCACCAAATGGGGTCAATCAATGTGCACACTGATCTCTCAACCTTGACCCATTCTGATATTGAGAGTCTACTACACAGATTTCTAGACTTTTCCATGCGGTCATAATGCCCCATCCCCAAGGCTCCCATTGGCTCCTTCCATTCATTGGCCCCCTGCCATCTCCCCCCTCCCCCTGCTCCCTCCCACTCTCTCTGTCCTTCACAAAGGACCTCTGTGCTCTCAGGTTGTCCCCTGTGTGTCACTATATGGGAGCCCCCAGGTGACACCGTCCTCACAGAGGGGAGGTGCTTACCAACCCCCCACACCCAGGGAACAGCTGCGCTGGTGGAAGCCCCAGACACCCTGCAGGTGGCAGTAGCTGGCCCCGGGGGCACAAGGCCAGGCTCCTCTCTGTGCTCAGGACGCTGCCTCTTGGGCATGAACACGGAGCTCAGGCCCCTTCGAGCCAGTTCCTGGCACTGCCTTCAGGATGCAGGGCACATGGACCCACCAATCTGACCTGTAGTCTGAGCAGGTAACCTAGCACTCGAGAGCCTGTGGCTCTGAGTCACTCCAGTGCCTGGGGGACAGTATGAGGCTCATGGGGGCCCTGGCCTGGGGAGTGGGCGTGTTCTCAGCAGCATCAGCCCAGAAGGGCCACCAGGGACGGGTAGGGATGCACCTGAGCAGATAACGCCTGCGTCCTCTCCGTGGTTGCAGTTGTGGGAGTTCCAGCCCCTGTGTGGGCAGCTCCACAGGTAGGACTCGTGCCCTGAGCAGCCCACATCGTCCAGCACGATCGGGCCTGAGCCCTGTCCAAACCGGGCATTTCCTGGGGCCGACCTGGCCCCGCCACAGCCCAGCTGCCTGCACACCACGTTGGCGTCATTGGTGTCCCAACTGTCGTCACACACAGTGCCCCAGGAACCTTTGTAGAAGACCTCTACGCGGCCCTGACACCGGTCACCGCCATTCACCAGCCTCAGGTCCAAACCAGTATTGCTTCCTAGAAGGGGATAGAAAAATTCACTGTCTCCCATGTTGCCTCAAGAAAGAGGCTCTGAGGTGTGGGTGAGGTTCCGAATTCTTCCAAGAGCCAACCCTTTATTGTTCAGGGTTACGATCCCCTACATTGGGATTGGACCGTAGGCTGTCAGTCACCCTTTATCTTCAAGGAGCCAGTTACAGCACCCATGGGTGTGAGCTGTGGGAGGCATGTTCTCCAATTGGTTTCCTACCATGTGGCCTTGCGATGCAGGACAAAGTGGGGAGCCCCACCGTTGGCACTAGCCGTGACCCATGTTCAGAATGCTGGCCGATAGTGAAGCCCATACACACAGAGCATAGGAGAAAAAAAAGCGCACGGAGACAGTCTTGGAACGCCTGGATACAGCTGCCCCTGAAGCTGGTCCTGCCACTAGATGTCCCTCATGTGTGAGCCATGGAGTTCTCTTCTGGCTTCAAAGAGTTTGAGTTGAGCTCCTGTCACTTGAAAAGTAAAACATCTTGACTAATTTGTCCCATGACTGGTAGGTGAAGGGAATCCATGATTCTGGGATGTGGGGGAGCCCTTCATGTTGGATGGGGTGAAGTCTGAGGAGATCTAACACAAGATTTGAGAAGGTCACCATGGCCTGGAGGCTACAGTGCTGAATGCTGATGCTTTGGCCAGAACCAGGGATGCTCAACTGAGGAAGGACTTGTGTACCACCCACCGGATAGAAAACAGAGCAGCTTAGAAAGGAGAGCAGAGGGTCAAGGTCGGGTCTGCTGAGCTGTGACTGGGTCGGGGGTTAGGGACAGGGTGGGCTGAGAAGCTCTGTGGCTACGGGAGAAAGAGGCCCTTTCTGAGAGCTTGCCACCAGCCAAAACCATGTCCTTGAATGTCCTTGACAATGGCAACCAGGGCTACAATCTGTGAGAGCAACCCTGCTGAGCTCCTGACACAGTGTCCTTTGGTAAAAGCATCACTTAGGCTCTGTCTGGGGTCCATGGATGAAGGGTGTCTGTTGCCTCAGCACAGGGAACAGAATGTCCCCAGGACAGAGTGTCCCCTGTCACTGAGTGGGTAAGCACTGTAGCCAGAATGCCCTTATCGCTCTGAGCCAGACCAGAGGGTCAATGTGTTGTTGTGGGCACTGTACTATCTACACATCAGGGAGGGGACTGGGAGGCAGAAACTGGCATAGTCCCCTCCAGGAGCTCCTGGTGGGCTGTGGGGTGAGCAGGGAGGGATCGTCAGAGCTAGTGGGACTCAGCTGGCATGGTGGTGGACAGGGCCAGGCAGCTGTGAGAGAGAGAGTGTCGGACCAGACACATGGCACAGAAGGTGGCACAGTGGAATTGTGGGAGACACTGAGCAGGTGGACGCTCAGCCATGCTGGTCCCCTGCCTTGGAAGGTGGGGTCTTTGCCATCAAACCCAGGAGGGACACTCCCCGCCAGGGCCCAGTAAGACCCGGGGCATTGGTGCCGAGGTCCAGGTGATTCCGCCTATGTTTAGATGGAGGCACAGAGTTGACACGAGGAAAATGTCTACCACGCAGCTTTTAGGAGGCATGGATTGGCCAAGAGTGAGGAGTCTACTCAGGGCTCCAATCCCACGTGTCATGTTCAGGCCTGACCATAGGCAACTACAAGGCATAGCCCGGTGGGTCTCAGGGGCCCTCTGCCCTCGCAGTGCAGACCTGGTGCAGAGATTGCATCCAATTTCCCTGGAGAGACTGACAGGCAAGGACTCCTGAGCCCCAAATGCAGGCCAGCCATGTGAGGGTCACAGCACCTCTACCCACGGGCCCCCTCCCAGGCAACTCACAACACTGCCTGTGCCGCTGGCGTGTGTCCGTCGGCAGAAGGTGTGATCCTTACACTCAGTGTAGGTCCTCATTCTACTGCTTACACCTGGCACCAGGACACAGACTAATACTGAACTAGGCAGAGAACTAGGACTCTTCAAGGGAACAAGAAATAAAGAAAGACTTTGACAGGAAACAGATTGAGGGACATACTCACTGACAAAACACCACCCAGGAAAGGAGGACCGACTTGGGGGACCCACCTGAGCAGATGACGCCAGCGTCCTCTCCGTGGTTGCAGTTGTGTGAGTTCCAGCCCCTGTGCGGGCAGCTCCACAGGTTGGACTCATTCCCTGAGCAGCCCACGTCGTCCAGCAAGATCGGGCCTGAGCCCTGTCCAAACTGGGCACTTCCTGGGGCTGAACTGGCCTCACCACAGCCAAGCTGCTTGCACACCACGTTGGCATCATTGGTGTCCCACCCGTCGTCACACACGGTGCCCCAGGAGCCTTGGTAGAGGACCTCCACTCGGCCTTGACACTGGTCAGCTCCGTTCACCAGCCTCAGGGCCAAACCGGCTTCGGCTCCTAGAAGGGAAGGGGAAAATTCACTGTCTCTGGTGTTGCCTGAAGGAAGAGACTCTGAGGTATGGTTGAGGTTCCTAATTCTTCCAGGGTCCAAGGCTTTAGGGTTCGGGTTAACATTCCCCCACATTAGGACTGGACTGCAGCCCATCCATCACCCTATATCTTCAAGGATTCGGGTACAGCACTCATATGTGTGAGCTGTGGGAAGCATGTTCTCCAATTGGTTTCCCACCATGTTGGCCTTGGGATGCAGGATGAAGAGGGGAGGCCAGCCATCTGCACTAGCAGTGACCCATGTGCAGAAAGCAAGCCGATAGTGAAGCCCATACACACAGAAAGCAGGAGTAAGCAAAGCGCATGGAGACAATCTTGTAACGCCTGGATCCAGCTGCCCCTGAAGCTGGCCCTGCCACTAGACGTCCCTCATGTGTGAGCCATGGAGTGTTCTTACGGCTTCAAAGAGTTTGAGTTGGGCTCCTGTCACTTGCAAACTAAAACATGCTGACTAATATGTCCCATAAGTGGTAGGTGAAAGGAATCCATGATTCTGGGAGGTGGTGGAAGCCTCCATGTTGGATGGGGTGATGTTTGAGGAGATCTAACACAAGATTAGAAAAGGTCACCCTGGCCTGGAGTCTACAGTGCTGAATTCTGACACTTTGGCCAGACCCAGGGATGCTCACCCAAGGAAGGATGTGTACCACCCCCCTGGAGAGAAATCAGAGCAGCTTAGAATGTAGGGCAGAGGGGCAAGGTGGGGTCTGCTGAGCTGTGATTGGGGTCAGTGGGTCAGTGGGTCAGGGACAGGGTGAGGTGAGAAGCTGTGTGGCTACAAGTGAGCTTCCATGAACCAAAACTGTGCCCTTGAATGTCCTTGACAATGGCAACCAGGGCTACAATCTGTGAGAACAACCATGGTGACCTACTGACACAGTGTCCTTTGGTAAAAGCAACCCTTAGGCTCTGTCTGGGGTCCATGGATGAAGGGTGTCTGTTGCCTCAGCACAGGGAACAGAATGTCCCCAGGACAGAGAGTCCCCTGTCCCTGAGTGGGTAAGCACTGTAGCCAGAATGCCCTTATCCCTCTGAGCCAGACCAGAGGGTCAAATGTGTTGTGGCACAACTGTACCATCTACACATCAGGGAGGGGACTGGGAGGCAGAAACTAGCACAGTGCTCTCTGGGAGCTCCTGGTGGGCTGTGGGTTGAGCAGAGAGAGAGCTTCAGAGGCAGCGGGACTCAGCTGGCATGGCGGTGGACAGGGCCAGACAGCTGTGAGAGAGAGAGCGTCGGATAGACACGTGGCACAGAAGGGGGCACAGCAAGAGGCATCATGGGAGACACTGAGCAGGTGGAGGATCAGCCATGCTGGTCCCCTGCTTTGGAAGGCATGGCCTCTGCTATCTAACCCAGGAGGGACACTTCCCTCCAGGACCCAGGAAGACCCGGGGCATTGGTGCCGAGGTCCAGGTGATTCCGCCTATGTTTAGATGGAGGCACAGAGTTGACACGAGGAAAATGTCTACCACGCAGCTTTTAGGAGGCATGGATTGGCCAAGAGTGAGGAGTCTACTCAGGGCTCCAATCCCACGTGTCATGTTCAGGCCTGACCATAGGCAACTACAAGGCATAGCCCGGTGGGTCTCAGGGGCCCTCTGCCCTCGCAGAGCAGACCTGGTGCAGAGATTGCATCCAATTTCCCTGGAGAGACTGACAGGCAAGGACTCCTGAGCCCCAAATGCAGGCCAGCCATGTGAGGGTCACAGCACCTCTACCCATGGGCCCCCTTCCAGGCAACTCACAACACTGCCTGTGTCGCTGGCGTGTGTCCGTCGGCAGAAGGTGTGACACACTCACTTGGGTCCTCATTCACCTGCTTACACCTGGCACCAGGACACAGACTAATACTGAACTAGGCAGAGAACTAGGACTCTTCAAGGGAACAAGAAATAAAGAAAGACTTTGACAGGAAACAGATTGAGGGATACACTCGCTAAGAAAACAGCACCCATGAAGGAGAACAGATATGGGGAGACGCACCTGTGCAAATGACACTGGCGTCCTCTCCGTGGTTGCAGTTGTGGGAGTTCCAGCCATTGTGCGGGCAGCTCCACAGGTAGGACTCGTTCCCTGAGCAGCCCACATCGTCCAGCACGATCTGTCCTGAGCCCTGTCCGAACCGGGCACTTCCTGGGGCCGATTTAGCCCGGCCACAGCCCAGCCACCTGCACACCACGTTGGCGTCATTGATGTCCCACCCGTCATCACAGACGGTGCCCCAGGAGTTTTGGTAGAGGACTTCCACGCGGCCCTGACACCGGTCACCGCCGTTCACCAGCCTCAGGGACAAACCGGCATCGGCTCCTAGAAGGGGAGGGAAAAATTCACTGTCTCTGGTGTAGCCTGAAGAAAGAGGCTCTGAGGTGTGAGTGAGGTTCCTAATTCTTCCAGGGTCCAAGCCTTTTATTTTAGGGATTATATTCCCTGAATTAAGACTGGACCGAACCCAGTCCATCACCCTTTATCTTCAAGGAGCCAGGTCCAGCACCCATGGGTTTTACCTGTAGGAGGCATGTTCTCCAATTGGTTTCCCACCATGTTGGCCTTGTGATGCAGGACACAGATGTTGGCTGCTGTCTGTACTACCAATGACCCATGTGCAGAAAGCAAGCTGTAGTGAAGCCCATACACATAGAAAGTAGGAGTAAGCAAAGGGCACAGAGACAGTCTTGGAACGCTGGGATCCAGCTGCATGAGAAGCTGGCCCTGCACCGAGACGTCCCTCGTGTGTGAGACATGGAATGTTCTTCTGGCTTCAAAGAGTTTGAGTTGGGCTCCTGTCACTTGCAAACTAAAACATCCTGACTAATATGTCCCATAACTGGTAGGTGAAGGGAATCCATGATTCTGGGATGTGGGGGAATCCTCCACATTGGATGGGGTGATGCCCGAGGTTGTGTAACACAAGATTCTGGAACATCACCCCGGCTGGAGCCTACAGTGCTGAATGCGGAAACTTTGGCCAGACCCAGGGATGCTCACCCTAGGAAGGACTTGTGTACCACCCATCTGATGAGAAAACAGAACAGCTTAGAAAGGAGCGTGGAGGGTCAAGGTCGGGTCTGCTGAGTAGTCACTGGGGTCAGAGGATGAGGGACAGGGGGATGGGATGCTCTGTGGCTAGGGGAGAAAGAGGCCTTTTCTGAGAGCTATCCACGAGCCAAAACCATGCCCTTCAATGTCCTTGACAATGGCAACCAGGGCTACAATCTGTGCGATCAACCCTGATGAGCTTCTGAACCACAAGGCATAGCCCGGTGGGTCTCAGAGGGCCCGCTGCCCTCGCAGAGCAGATCTGGAGCAGAGATTGCATCCAATTTCCCTGGAGAGACTGACAGGCAAGGACTCCTGAGCCCCAAATGCAGGCCAGCCGTGTGAGGGTCACTTCAACTCTACCCACCCACCCCCTCCCAGGCACACTCACAACACTGCCTGTGCCGCTGGGATGTTCGGTCCCGTCGGCAGAAGGTGTGATCCTTACACTCAGTTTAGGTCCTCATTCACCTGCTTACACCTGGCACCAGGACACAGACTAATACTGAACTAGGCAGAGAACTAGGACTCTTCAAGGGAACAAGAAATAAAGAAAGACTTTGACAGGAAACTGATTGAGGGACACACTCGCTGAGAAAACACCACCCATGAGGGAGAACAGACTTGCGGGGGGCCAACCTGAGCAGATGACGCCGGCGTCCTCGTGGTGCCCACAGTTGTGGGAGTTCCAGCCCCTGTTTGGGCAGCTCCACAGGAAGGACTCTTGCCCTGAGCAGTCCACATCGTCCAGCACAATCGGCCCTGAGCCCTGTCCGAACTGGGCACTTCCTGGGGCCGAACTGGCCCCGCCACAACCCAGCTGCCTGCACACGACGTTGGCGTCATTGGTGTCCCACCCGTCATCACACACGGTGCCCCAGGAGCCTTGGTAGAGGACCTCTACGCGGCCCTGACATGAGTTACTGCTGTTCACCAGCCTTAGGGCCAAACCGGAATTGGCTCCTAGAAGGGGACAAAAAAATTAATTGTCTCTGGTGTCACCTTAAGAAACAGGCTAAGGTGTGGGTGAGGTTCCGAATTCTTCCAGGGTCCAAGCCTTTTATTTTCGGGATTACATTCCCCTGAATGAAGACTGGAAAAATGCCCGTCCATCACCATTTATCTTCAAGGAGCCGGGTACAGCACCCATGGGTGTGAGCTGTGGGAGGCATGGTCTCTGACTGGTTTACCACCATGTTGGCCTTGAGATGCAGGACAAAGACAGGTGGCCCGCCGTCGGCACTAGCAGTGACCCGTGTGCAGAAAGCAAGCTGATAGTGAAGCCCACACACACAGAACTTAGGGGTAAGCAAAGCGCACAGAAACAGTCTTGGAACACCTGGATCCACTGCCCCTGAAGCTGGCCCTGCCACTAGACGTCCCTCATGTGTGAGCCATGGAGTGTTCTTACGGCTTCAAAGAGTTTGAGTTGGGCTCCTGTCACTTGCAAACTAAAACATCCTGACTAATATGTCCCATAACTGGTAGGTGAAGGGAATCCATGATTCTGGGATGTGGGGGAAGCCTCCATGTTGGATGGGGTGAAGTCTGAGGAGATCTAACACAAGATTTGAGAACGTCACCATGGCCTGGAGGCTACAGTGCTGAATGCTGACGCTTTAGCCAGACCAAGGGAAGCTCAACTGAGGAAGGACTTGTGTACCACCCACCTGGAGAGAAAACAGAGCAGCTTAGAAAGGAGAGCAGAGGGTCAAGGTGGGGTCTGCAGAGTTGTGACTGGGGTCAGGGGTCAGGGGGTCAGGGACAGGGTGGGCTGAGAAACTATGTGGCTAGGGAAGAAAGTTGCCCTTTCTGAGAGCTTGCCATGAGCCAAAACCATGCCCTTCAATGTCCTTGACAATGGCAACCAGGGCTACAATATGTGAGAGCAACCATGGTGACCTACTGACGCAGTGTCCTTTGGTAAAAGCATCCCTTAGGCTCTGCCTGGGGTCCATGGATGAAGGGTGTCTGTTGCCTCAGCACAGGGAACAGAATGTCCCCAGGACAGAGTGTCCCCTGTCACTGAGTGGGTAAGCGCTGTAGCCAGAATGCCCTTATCCCTCTGAGCCAGACCAGAGGGTCAATGTGTTGTGGGCACAACTGTACCATCTACACATCAGGGAGGGGACTGGGAGGCAGAAACTAGCACAGTGCCCTCCAGGAGCTCCTGGTCGGCTGTGGGGTGAGATTGCACACAATTTCCCTGGAGAGACTGACAGGCAAGGACTTCTCAGCCCCAAATGCAGGCCAGCCGTGTGAGGGTCAATGCACCTCTACCCACGGGCCTCCTCCCAGGCAACTCACAACACTGCCTGTGCCGCTGGCGTGTGCGGTCCCATCGGCAGAAGGTGTGATCCTTACACTCAGTGTAGGTCCTCATTCACCTGCTTACACCTGGCACCAGGACACAGACTAATACTGAACTAGGCAGAGAACTAGGACTCTTCAAGGGAACAAGAAATAAAGAAAGACTTTGACAGGAAACTGATTGAGGGACACACTCGCTGAGAAAACACCACCCATGAAAGGAGAACAGACTTGAGGATACGCACCTGAGCAGATGACACTGGCGTCCTCTCCGTGGTTGCAGTTGTGGGAGTTCCAGCCCCTGTGCGGGCAGCTCCATAGGTAGGACTCGTGCCCAGAACAGGCCACGTCATCCAGCACGATCTGTCTTGAGCCCTGTCCAAACCAGGCATTTCCTAGAGCCAACCTGGCCTCGCCACAGCCCAGCTGCATGCACACTACGTTGGCGTCTTTGGTGTCCCACCCATCGTCACACACGGTGCCCCAGGAGCCTCGGTACAGGACCTCCACGCGGCCCTGACACCGGTCACCTCCGTTCACCAGCCTCAGGGCCAAACCGGCATCGGCTCCTAGAAAGGGAGGGGAAAATTCACTGTGTGCAATGTCGCCTGAAGAAAGAGGCTCTGAGGTGTGCGTGAGGATACTAATTCTTCCAGGGGCCAAGCCTTAGTGTTTGGGGTAACGTTCCCCTGCATTAAGACTGGACCAAAGTTCCTCCAATACCCTTTATCTTCATGGAGCTGGGTACAGCACCTATGGGTGTGAGCTGTGGGAGGCATGTTCTTCAATTGGTTTCCCACCATGTTGGCCTTGCGATGCAGGACAAAAAGGGGAGCCCCACCATTGGCACTAGCAGTGGGCCCTGTGCAGAAAGGAAGCCGATAGTGAAGCCCATACACATAAGAAAGCAGGAGTAAGCAAAGCGCACAGAGACAGTCTTGTAACGCCTGGATCCAGGAGCACCTGAAGCTGGCTCTGCCAGGAGATGTCCCTCATGTGTGAGCCATGGACTGCTCTTCTGGCTTCAAAGAGTTTGAGTTGAGCTCCTGTCACTTGCAAACTAAAACATCCTGACTAATATGTCCCATAACTGGTAGGTGAAGGGAATCCATGATTCTGGGATGTGGGGTGAACCCTCCATGTTGGATGGGGTGAAGTCTTAGGAGTTCTAACACAAGATGAGAGAATGTCACCCTGGCCTGGAGGCTAGAGTGATGAATTCTGATGCTTTGGCCAGACCCAGGGACGCTCACATGTGGAATGATATGTACCACCCTCCTGGAGAGAAAACAGAGCAACTTAGAAAGGCAGGCAGAGGGTCAAGGTCGGGTCTGCTGAGCTGTAACTGTGGTCAGGAGTCAGGGACAGGGTGGCCTGAGAAGCTCTGTGGCTACGGGAGAAAGAGGCCTTTTCTGAGAGCTTGCCACCAGCCAAAACCATGTCCTTGAATGACCTTCACTATGGCAACCAGGGCTAGAATCGGGGAGAGCAACCCCACTGAGCTCCTGACACAGTGTCCTTTGGTAAAAGCATCTCCTAGGCTCTGTCTGGGGTCCATGGATGAAGGATCTCTGTTGCCTCAGCACAGGGAGCAGAACGTCCCAGGACAGAGAGTCCCCTGTCACTGAGTGGGTAAGCGCTGTAGCCAGAATGCCCTTATCCCTCTGAGCCAGACCAGAGGGTCAATGTGTTGTGGGCACAACTGTACCATCTACACATCAGGGAGGGGACTGGGAGGCAGAAAGTGGCACAGTCCCCTCCAGGAGCTCCTGGTGGGCTGTGGGGTGAGCAGGGAGGGAGCGTCAGAGGCAGCGGGACACAGCTGGCATGGCGGTGGACAGGGCCAGACAGCTGTGAGAGAGAGGGCGTCGGATCAGACATGTGGCAGAGAAGGGGACACAGCAAGAGGCATCGTGGGAGACACTGAGCAGGTGGACACTCAGCCATGCTGGTCCCCTGCCTTGGAAGGCGGGGCCTTTGCCATCTAACCCAGGAGGGACACTCCCCGCCAGGGCCCAGGAAGACCCAGGTCATTGGTGCCAACATCTAGGTGATTCCATCTGTGTCTAGATGGAGGCACAGAGTTAACACGAGGAAGCTGTCTACCACACACCTTTTAAGAGCCATGGAGGGGCCAAGAGCGAGGAGTGTACTCAGGGCTCCAATCCCACGTGTGTGGTTCAGGCCTGGCCATAGGTAACTACAAGGCATAGCCCGGTGGGTCTCAGAGGGCCCGCTGCCCTCGCAGAGCAGACCTGGTGCAGAGATTGCATCCAATTTCCCTGGAGAGACTGACAGGCAAGGACTCCTGAGCCCCAAATACAGGCCAGCCATGTGAGGGTCAACGCACCTCTATCCACGGGCCCCTTCCAGGCAACTCACAACACTGCCTGTGCCGCTGGCGTGTGTTTGTCGGCAGAAGGTGTGATCCTTACACTCAGTGTAGGGCCTCATTCACCTGCTTACACCTGGCACCAAGACACAGACTAATACTGAACTAGGCAGAGAACTAGGACTCTTCAAGGGAACAAGAAATAAAGAAAGACTCTGACAAGAAACAGATTGAGGGACACACTCGCTGAGAAAACACCACTCATGAAGGAGAACAGACTTGGGGGGGCCCACCTGAGCAGATGACACCGGCGTCCTCTCCGTGGTTGCAGTTGTGTGAGTTCCAGCCCCTGTGCGGGCAGTTCCACAGGTAGGACTCGTGCCCTGAGCAGCCCACGTCGTCCAGCACGATCGGGCCTGAGCCCTTTCCGAACCAGGCACTTCCTGGGGCCGACCTGGCCTCGCCACAGCCCAGCTGCCTGCACACCACGTTGGCATTGTTGATGTCCCACCCGTCGTCACACACGGTGCCCCAGGAGCCTTGGTAGAGGACCTCCACGCGGCCCTGACATGGGTCACCGCCGTTCACCAGCCTCAGGGCCAAACCCGAATTGGTCCTTAACCCTAGAGGACGGCACAAGGACACCTCCTCACTGTCTGTGCTGATCTCCAGGCCTGAGGCAGGTTCAGACCCAGGGCCTCCCTCATGGCCATGCCCAAGGGCAGGCAGTCATCTTTGGACACCCCAGGGGTTCATCTCCATCACAGGGAAAGGATTGGAAAGTCCTGTTCTGCTAGGTCTAAGGGTGCTCCTAGGTAGGGAGCCCCAGGATTGCCCATGGGGTGAGGACTGCCCCCTGTATCCACCAGGGCCACACAGGGTAGAGTTCCACAGCACTGGGGACAGGCCAAGACCATGGACCCCTTGGCCACTTATTTCTACTCCATGGTCCTGCCTCACTTGAGGCAAAGCCCTCAGAGGTGATGGGACCAAGTCTGCCAGACAGGAGAGGACGGGCACCCTCATCCCCTGAGGCTGAGCATGCGCCGTGATCCCTGGGGCATGGCACCTGTCACTCCCCCAGGCTCAGGGACCCCTGTGCCACCTGGAGACCGGGAGGGGCTCGGCACATCCGTGGGGCTCCCTCGTGGCTTGGAGCTTGGTGCACAGGTGCCCCCTGGCGTCCCAGGTCTGTGGGGCGGGGCTGGCGGGGTCAGTATGGTTGTGCCCACAGAGAGGCCTCCCTGTGCTCTGACCCAGACATCCCGTCACCGCACCCCCTGAGTTCTCCCGAGGAAGAGGCAGCCCCAGGGCACACTCGGTATCGTGCCCGCAGGGAGGGCTCCAGGGAACTTTCCTCTTACCTGTCCCAGGAGGAATCCTGAGGACTGTGGTGGCAGCAGCCTCCGCGACAGAGGCTGGAGGGGAAGAAGCAGAAACAGAACGTCAGGTCTCCGCTGAGGGGAACCGAGGACGGAACGGAACTTGAGCCGCGTTCTCATCAGGGTTTGCCTTCCTGTGTGACTTTGCAAAAGTCAACAAACCTACTCAGCCTCCCGTTCTTTCACTTTAGAAGGCGGTTTGGCCCTGACTGGTGTGGCTCCGTGGATAGAGGGCTGGCCTGTGGGCTGAAGGGTCCTGGGTTCTGGTCAAGGGCACAGCCTGGGTTGGGGGCTCGATCCCCACTGTGGGGCGAGCAGGAGGCAGCCAATCCATGATTCCCTCTCCTCATCAATGCTTCTCTCCCTCCTACCCCCTTCCTGTCTGAAATCAATAAAAATGTATTTCAAGGCTCTTCAGGGGAAGGGGTGTCTCATCAACCTGCCGAGCTTGCATTGGGCCCTCCACATGGGACCCACGCCGGTGCCAGGAAATGGGTACAGAAGAAACCTTCACATCGCGGCACTGCTCAGCGAGTCTTCCCGTCTCAGTGCACTGGCTCCATCCTTAGCACCGTGTGGAATAGTGGGTGTGTTTGTGTGTGTGTGTGTGTGTGTGTGTGTGTGTGTGTGTGTGTGTGTGTGTCGGGGGGGCTGAAGGGCATAGTCACTTTGCTTTCACTTCCCTGGAAATGCTTCTAATGTTTCCCTGGTCAGTGAGAGGCTGGCTTGAAGCCTGTGGTTGTCGAGTTGCCTCAAGGAGCCCTGGGCTTGCCCACGGCCCCAGCAAGAGCCGGCCTGGTGCTGGGCATGGAGAGAGGATGACCTGGCAGCTGCTCCAACCACTGCACCCAGAGCCCTGCGTCCTCTGAGTCTCTCCTGGGCTTCTGCACCAGGGCCCTTTCGATCTAGAGGTGTGACCCCCTTCCCTCCCCTCGGGAGGGCCTGGCAGGTCTGGGGAAGTCCTGTCTGCAGGCCTGTCAGAGGCAGAGGGCCCCGCACCTGAGCCCTCCCTCCAGGCCTGGCCGGACGCTGGCGCCTCGGGCTTCGTCAGGCCCAGGACATTCCTAACACGGGGCAGGGTCTCGGGGGAACCGCCTCCGAGGGCCAGGGGTCCTCCTCCTCCCGCCGCTGCCCCTGAGAGTCCGGGGAGGGGACACGTTCACAGAGGATGAAGCCAGGCTCCGCCTCGGCTCCAGCGACATCTCTGTCCCTAACCAGCGGGACTGGACAGGGAAGGTCCAGCCGGGCCTGACGCCGTGGGCCTCGGGGACGGGAACCCGGGACCCGAGAAAGAGAAATGCCCGGGCCCCCTGGTCCCTGCTGGGTCCTGGATGGGACCTTGGCCTGGAGCCTGTCCTTCTCCTGTCTCAGGGCCAGCG